AAGTTAAAATGAGGTCATTAAGGCTGACCCTAATGCAGTATGACTGGGTGTCCTTATGGAGGAGACAGATGAGCACAGCATGCCATGTTATTTGTAAAGGCAGACACTGGGTGGAGTCAAGGAACCTTAAGGATTCCCAGTGTTAGACATGAGCTGACAGCTATGAAATAGATTCACTCTCACTTTCTCCAGAAGGAACAAACTCCGCTAGTAGTTTTATTTTAGGTTTCTAGCTTGAGAACAATCTGCACTGTTCTATAAACTACCTGGTTTGTGGTATTCTGTTATAGCACCTTGTAATATCAACAGAGACTAATAAATTGCATGTAACTATACATTCATATAATGTAGTAATTAAGTGAACACTGAACAGTTATTTCAATAATAACTTTCTTTATATGCTACAAATTCCTAAAGTACTTCCTTCACAGGTGGCAGCCACTCTTACATGTTACTTAAATACGACACTCTTTAAAATCCTTTAGTAAGACCTTTTTCTAGACTTAGATGCTAAGGTCAAGAAATGTGCCCACTCTACAGAACCAAGGCTGACCAGGATGTACAGCATAGGCTACGTTCTTCTCATCTCCTCTGCTCACATGGTCCACATGACCACACTTCTGTGCTCACCCTCTTCCTACAGCCGAGGAGGGCACTTCTCCTGGTTGTACATTCCAGACCCAGGGAATTTTAGCTCAAAGTAAAGGCATTTCCACTTTCCTTCCAACACCACTGCCTTAACTGGGGCCGTCGTTACGCTTTCTTTTAAAGTACATCTCTCCCTCTCTACTTAACAACTGCCACACACAGGCTGTGACTTCAAACGAACACAACAACCGTTAGACAGCGCCACTCCTACCACACATATCAGCTTGGCAGGGGAATGAAACCATTTTGCTTAACGAAGAAAGACTGAACTCCAGGCAATATCTGCCAAGAATATAAAGTTCTTTACCACTTGATCAAGTAGTTAGAAATGCTGATTAGGTTCGTCAGTGTGCCTCAGATGGGCAATTATAATATTCAACCAAGAACTCATCACTCACCTGTGATGTGAAAATTATAGGAAAGTACCAAGATGTTAGGCCTACAAAGTGAGGAAACACAATCTAACTAATGAAGATGAGCAATAAAAATGAGGGCTGACGAAGTAAAGAAAATGAAGGTAAAACACTAATAAAAAATTCTAATAAGCAATCACAGCAAAAACAAGGTAAACAGAACAAACAAAACAAAAACAAAAAAGGTGAGTATGACAGGGGAAAAAAAGGCCAATCCTCACCAGCCTCAATTAATTGAGAACAATGAAGGCTAGACAGGACTATCTACAGGTTTTATTTTCCCCAACCCTTACTTGGGACTACACATATCAAACCCCACATAACAAGAACATACACGCTCCTTAAACAAATTAGCTATCACTCAACCTGAAAGTCAACAGTACTTTACTCTAAGTGAATCTTCCTCTTAAAGTTTATGAGACAATACTCCCAGGTAACAATACCAATGGAACCATTAGCTCCAAGTCCATGTCAGTTATAACACACAGTCACATATTACACTAACTTTAAATGAAACCCTAATTTTCATAAGTCTATTTATTAAAGCTATAGCATAACAACAAACTTCTAAGATTCACAAAGCCAATCACTTCCAGAAAATGAGAAATGTATGTTCCTACATACTTTTCTGCTCTCTAACGTCGGCCTAGACTGCAATTCCCTTACCTCACCTTCTGCACCTAAGTGGGACCTAGGCATTCTGGTAGTCTTTTGAAACCTCTACCTATAAACTTTTAGTTCAGGCCCCTTTGTATTTTATGGGGCATCTACGGACACCTGTGGGATCTCCTTTGTCACTTCTCTCACCATCTACAGTCCGTTTCTACACTGCCTTAACCTTATCCCAAATATGGGTAAGTGAACCCTGATCTGTATGTAGCTCCCCATAAACAGTGCTTCAACTGAACCTGCCTCTTAGTTATGAAATGTGTCATGACCTCTCAAAGGACATGGACATGCTGTACTAAAAACTTTTCACTTTAACTCACAGAATACAAACTAGAGATCAAAAGTAAGCCCATTATCACCAATGTGGCAATCATGTTTCCAAAGTGTTATCTCTGGACTTAACCATCAGAAATGGTCTTCTACTCTCAAATTATAATGCATTCAAATCTTCCCACTAAACTTGATAAAAACAGAAATGACCAACTTCTACCTCAGACCTAGGAAACCAATTTACCAAGAAACTGAACCTACCTACACACATGCCTAATAATTTCTACAATGATTCCAACACATGTATAAATGGGAAAATCCCTGTTCACTAAGAAACTCTCCTAATTTTCCAAGTACTTCCATATCCTTTATCAACCTAGTTAGTCTTACTCATGTATTGACCGTTTAATAAAATTTTTACTTCTCTACTTAGTCTTCCACCACTCTCTCCTATAGTTCTGTCTTTTTATAACAAGTTTCCAGATATTTATGTATACTCCTAATCAACACAAGCAATCCATGAGATAGCATTCTAATTTTACAGGTAGGAAAAGCAAATACAGACCAGGAAGGTTAAGGGGCTGTTCAAAGTGACCCTGAGCTTAAAACCAGTCTTTCTTGTACAGGCAGCTCTTTGATCCTAGTCTCGGACTGACTTACTCCCCGGTTTACATGTTGTTTCCCTCTTCAAACACCAATTTCCCTGACGGCAAGCATCAATCTTGATTTTTGACCTCAACATTTAATTACTCAATACATGTTTGTTCAATGAAAGAAATGAAAAACTTGCTTAAAATCTGGCACTATATAACTAGTTTAATTTCTTCACATTGTAGATATAGCTCTGAATACATCTGCTTGCTACATTTGGTCTGACCTGTACAGTTATGGCTCAATTTATGAGACAATACATTGCACTGTTATTTTAAACTACAAAAAAAGGAAAAAGAAAAAAAAAAAAAAGAAAGCAAAGACTATTCCAAAAACTCATTTTACATTGCTCTCTCTTAAACCTTAGGCTCCAAATTTTACAGTTAATTTTCACAAGAGAAGGCAAGGATAACAAAGTGGTTTTAAATTACTGCAATTCAAAAGTTAAAGTTGATTAATAATACATGATATGAAGAAATTGAGCACTGACTACCTGTAACCGATTCAGCAACTCACCTATGCTTACAGTTTGCCATGCTTTGTCTCTAGAAATATACTCCCACATCTGTCATTTCCTTGAAGCCCTGGGTAAACACTACAGTTAAGCTCTGAGCAATCAGTACAACAGCACTAAGTGCAATGTCTGCCATGCCTGAAGTTCATGGGCCTGGTATGTGAACGTGGGAAGCTACAGAAGTTTGTAGACTGTATACTACCTGTAATAAACCAGCCAAGCTGACCTCTTCCTGTTTTTTTCATATGAAAAAAAAAAAGATTTTTCTAAACTGAAAAACATAAAAATTAATGCTGCTTTAAGAAACTTACATTTTAATATTAGCTTTGTATAAAAATGTAGTTATTCCTTTAACACCACTTTGAGAAACAACTCATTAAGGGAAAATAAATCCACACAAAACATGATGTAGTGGAAAGTACAAAGGATCTGGGCATATAGTTCCAGTTACATTCCTAAATTACTGTGTGACTTGGGGCCAAGGGCTCCATTTTCTCATTTGTTTAAAGAACTATAAAGGGGGAAGGACTTCATTCATCTTTAAAATTGTCTACCAAATCCTTTTTTCTTTTCTTTTTTTTTTGAACCACTTTTTTCTGCTTCTAGTCAGTGGACAAACTGTTCTTCAAAGTCTAAATTTTAGAACAAGAAATGCATCTAAGTTCAATGGAATGATTTCGTTTCCAAAAGCAGACACAAAGAGTAAGCTAAGTTAACAATTAATCTGGTAAGTTTCCAGAAATTTTCTCCTCCTAACTTCTTCAGCAGGTGGTCTGATTTGACACATCTAGCGCTGGTAAGGAAAACTCTAAAACGGATCTGCTCAGCTGAAACTTCTCTTGAGTGTTTTCTGGGTTCCAGGGCGCAAACTCTGAGGGTGCTAGCAAACAGATGGTAGAAAGGGAGGCAGCCAGCTTTTCAACAATCCCCCTTTCAACTCAGTCACCTCAGTAAGATCAAGATAAGGCCTTCGCAAGGGAGAACTTCCCCACCCCCAGAAACGCCTGCAGCCAATGTAATGAATGCTTCCGTCAACAACACGCATTCCCCTTCCCACAGAACTGCTCGCTCCCGATCCGCCATCTGGGGTTGGGATGGGCCCACAGCACCAAACTCGGAACCGCTTTTGATCCCAAAGACCAAGAACTACTAGAAACTGCCGCTTCCCTACGTATGACTGCGGTGAATGCAGCACCCCCTCCTACCAATGCAAGGGAGAAAAAAAAAGAAAGAAAAACAGTGCAGCGGAGGGCAGAAACTAGGCCTAGTTTCTGCTGGAGAAATCAACCCCAAGTTCTTTGCAAAGGAGAGCAGGCGCATTTCCTGCCCTTGCTGTGATCCAAAGTGTCCGCGAACCTGCACTGCACTTCACCCTCTCCTGGAATCCTAAAGGGGGACCGAAAATCCAATTCGCTTCTTCCCCCATCCATACACTCCTAAAACCTCTAGCATTGTTAAGGATAATCCAGACCCAGAAGGAGGAAGTGAAGCAAGGGCCAGTGCCGGGATCCTGTTCTGAGATTAAGCTGCACGAAGAAAAAAATCCCCGTGTGGTCTAGAGTAAAGTTTGAACCTGCAGCAAGGGCACAGCCCCGGCCTGGCCGACCTGGCCTTCCGGGCAGGCCTACCGAGGTGACACTCCCCTGTTCTCCAGCAGCCGGGGGAGGCGGCTCCCGGCCGGCCGGCCTGCACCCGGGCCGGGGAGGCTGGAGGCCTGGCCCGCAGCGGCACCCCAGCCGCGTCGCGCCCGCTCCCGTCTCCCTCCCGCTCTCGAGAGCCCGGCCCGACCCCGGCCCGGGGCCGTGGGGGCGGCGACAGGGGTCTGGGCCACTGACCACACATTTCTTGCCGAGGAAGGAGAAGAGCGACTCGTTCTCCTGCGGGGTGAGCAGCAGGGAGCCCACATTGGTGACCCTCCGCGGGGGCTGCTGGCCCGAGCTCATGGTGTCGCCGGTGGGGCGCGGCGTCCGGGGCCGTGTCTGGTGGCGGCGGGCGAGCTCTCGGCCCCGCTCTGGGTGACAGGGGCGCGGGCCGGCAGTCACAGGCGCAGCATCCCGCCGCTCCTCGGGCGCGCGGAGGCCGAGGGAAGGCGCGGGCGGCGGGCGCCCTCGAGCCGCGCGCCGACAGGGAAGCTCCCGGCTCCCGCCCCGCTGGGCTCGGGCCGGATGCTCGTCGGGCTCGCACTCCGGCGGCTGCGCTAAACTCGCAACTCCCCGAGTCCTCCGGCGGCGGCGGCGGCGGCGGCGGCGGCCGCACAATCCAACATGGCAGCGGGGGCGGGCGAGACCACGGAACGCGCGGCGCGGGGGAGCGCGCCGGAAACGCGGCGCGGCCGGACACCCCTCGCTTGCCGCGCGCCGGGGCGTGTCCGCCCCAGGCCACGCCCCCTTCCGGGAGCGGCGCGGCTCCGACGCCTCTTGGGGGGCGCGCGCGTGCGCAGACGCAGAGCGAGGCCGCCGCGCACCTCTCGGCCGAGCGTTCGGGCCGCCTGGCCGTGGTTTGACCGGCACCGCCGTGGGATCTCGCGGGACGGGCGTGTGTGGCGTCGACGCTCACGTTCTCCGAAACTGTCTTGAGAATTGGAATCTGCCCCTCTCGGTCCTTCGCTGTCTGGATTTCGAAAGGCCCCGTTTTCTTCGTACTTTTGTGACAAACGGCCAGGTCCCTGGTAGCTCTTAAGACATTGCTAACCCGTTACCAATAAACTGAAAACAAAGTTTTAAAGCTACCCATGATAAAACTGGGTGATGAGGAACAATTCTACAGCGGAAGATGAAACCATGTACGTCAAGAGTCCTCAAATAACGTGTGGGTGTTTCAAATTAAACAAGTCTTAATTTTAAGGGGAAAATTAATTTTTAAAAGTGCCAAGACGGGTCAGGTGCGGTGGTGCAGCACACCTGTAATCCCAGCACTTGGGGTGGCAGAGGCAGGTGGATCACTGAGTTCCAGGCCAGTCATGGGAGCCTGGGACAGTCAAGGCTACACAGAAAAATTCTGACACACAAAAAGGAAAAAAAATAAAGAAAAGAAAAAGGCAAGACTCTATAACATAGTTAGGTTTTAGAAGGCCACCAGTTGAGTTGCAAGGCACGTTTGAATCACAAAGCTAACAAAACTGAGAAGTAGGTAATTTTATATTTTATTAAAAATGCATCTCTTATTAACTGAAAACATGGTGACATCCGAGATCTCAGAAGTTCTTGAGAAATGATGCAAACATGTGAACTTTAGTAGTCAAAACCTAGGCTGCAGTTGGTTCAAGGTTAAAGTTTCTGTTAGAGCATTTAAATGAGTTGGGGAATTGCTTTTCTGTCTCAGGTTCATCTGAAATGAAACCACCTTCTCATGAGGGTAGTCTAGTGGAAGCTGGGACAGTTAGACCTACTTTAAAAATGTCAAGAAAACCATGTGAGGTACCGAACGCAGTGGTTACTCAGTCCTGCCTGTCATTTTACTGTGTTTGCTTGTGATCTGTTACACATTTCCTTGTCTAAAGGATCAAGTATTAAAGTATGCATTTTTACATTCATTTTATCTAAGCCTGGTTCTTCAAAAACTCGAAGCCTTAAACAATTCTCAAATCTGTGTCAGTGAGTTTGGAGCATTTTCTCCTCTTTAATGATCAGGCTACATATTTTGCCAAACAGGTTGTTTTATCCCATTATGCTAAAATAGCAAAACTTTTACTACTATAGTTCTACACAGGCCTGTTAATTATTAAAATCCAAGAAGCTAAGTAGAACCTAGACCAGTGTGTGCCTGCTCAGTGTGTTCAAGGACCTGGATTCGATCTCTTCAAAACCAAACAAAAAAGCTAGAAAAAGCAATTTAAAAAAGAAAATGAGAATGTGTGTAGAGGGTAGCATGGGAAGGGCTGGAAAGAGAATACCTGGGTGGGGCTGGTGAGAGGGGAAAGTGATGTCATTCTATTTTCATTTTAAAATGCACACAAAATTAGAACAATTCTGAACTAAAAATATCAGCTCTCATAGACAACTGCTCCAAAAGCAGATGTGATAGAAAGGTGTGGAAACAAACAAACAAACAAACAAACAAAAAAAAAAACCAAAAAACTATGGGATAGTAAGTGAATGGCAGTCGGTAGGTTTCCCAGAGCCTGTTATGAGAGACTTTTTGAATTCCAGTCATTTCACACTGTGTTTCTTGTTTGAATTGTCCACTTTTTTCCTTCTCAAGAAATTTTTAGGTCTTACTTAAATGCAGCTTTCATTCTTTAAACTTGTTTTCTTTAAACGTAAAGATTAAAAATTATGATTATCATAATGCCTTTTTCTCAATCACAAACTATTTCTTTATGTCTTCCACAAATTTTTAAATATAGTACTTTGTTCACAAAATTAAAACTTCAGTTAAAACTTTTTCCCCCCTCAGGACTTTGCCCAATACCTTGATAGTCAGCCATAAAGCATGAAATTTTGAGCATGAACATTTAATGGGGAACAAGACTCCCTACTCATTTGAACATGAACAAAATATTGGGGACGTTCCTCTTTACAGTAAACAAAGGATACTATTTTCTGCATTCATCCCAAGATCAAGAAGTAGTATCAATATTTGTTTCAAAAAGCCTCGCCAGTCCTCTGACTTTTATACCTGATAGCACAACTTCTCTTGCAGAGCACAAGACAGCATTCACTGTTTCTTTGGCAAGCCATTTCTTATCTCAAATTCTTTTTGCCCAGTTTGAGAGATTGGATTTGGAAGAGAAAATAAGCTTTCGATTCTCCTTCAACTGAGTGTTTTGAAGTTTGTTAGCAAGGCTAAAAAGAGTAGGGGGTTTTAATCTTCACATAAAATACATCTATATTAAAATGTATAGAAATAGAACAAATACAAAAGTAACTCTTGCATTTAACGTCTTTCATGTGGTTTTCCTTCCGTAAACTAAAAATTTTCCTAGTACTCTATTTTCTGCTGCTTTCTTTGCTATGATCCTTTAAAGATGAACCCTTCATTTTGACAGAAAACCTTGTACTAACATTTATGGAAGTCAGGGAATATTTTCAAATGTCTCCCATGCTACTATAACTACACTGCACATTTTTCTTCTGTTCTTCAGTTATCTATTTTTTTTCCCTTTATAATAGTCTTTGTGCATGTACTGTTCAAAGTCCTCTGAAACACACTACCACCCTGGTTAATGCTAATAATTTAAAATGTAGTGACACCCTTCTCTGTGGGAGAATGTGATAATAGTAGCACACAGGGATCTATGGTTTTCAGCCATTGTAGCCATAATTGCTGGTACTGACGTGTTGCCTAACCAGGGGAGAGCTGATTTAGAGACAAAACAGCGGATCTGGCTGCTGTGGAGACGATGAATACTACTTTCATTGCAGCCTCCAAGTGTCATGGTGTAACACTGTAAAATATCTGTGCACATTTTTATGTAAGCATTGTATAAGTGGGGAAGTGAGACTTTGTACTGGTACACATTTTTTTCAAGTTAAATGTGGAATGTTTCATTTGTTATCAAAAATAAAGCTAACAAACTTTCCTGTTCAAATTCATTTTAAGTGCAGGTCACTTTATGGATTGTTTTTAAAGAATGGATAATTTATCTGCAACCCATTCACCTTCCTCCTTGATTTTTTTGGGAAATTGAATTCTTACTCAGTGTTAGAGAAGTACCTGTGATAGCTATTGCAGCTATATGGCCTAGTCCCCAGATACCTAATACATACTTGTACTCAAGTGATTTGAAGTGCTAAGAATGCTGTAGCTCCCAGCTTAGCTCTGTTCCAGCTGCTGGTCTTTATCTTTAATGAATATTCAGTAGCTCTTACTTTGGTTACTGCAAATGAGAGAGGGGAGACCTTAGTTCTTTATTATAATGTGGTCAAGGTCAATTTATAGGTGAGTTAGCAAATGGGTTCCTAGATAATTTGAAGATGCCAATGTCTTCATAACTTCACTGATGGATAGCTTTATGGTAAAAGATATACTTTCATCTACATATAAAAGAAAAAGTTAATTTGCATTTTAAAAATTTTATCATTTCTTTGAGACTTTCATACAATGTGTTTTAATTGATATCTAACCCCCCCCAACTCTTCTGAGATCTGCCTCCCTTCCTTACCACTCAACTTTGTGTCCTTTTAAAAATTATTATTTTTAAACCCAGAAAGACCAAATTTTGCTGCCCAAATATTCTTGGCTTTCCACTGGTGCATAGCCAACTTACCAGGGGCTACATTCTTAAAAGAAATTCTCCTCCCAGCAGCTAGTAGTTAGCAGTCGCTCAATGGTTAGAGCTGGAATTTCATGCCTAACACTCACCTCCATGCTGGGATTTGGCAAGGCTTAAGTTTGCACAGATTTCATACATGCCATTTCAACTGCTGTGAATTCATATGTGCAGATGCCCTGCTGTCCAAAGCATAGTTTGTTTTTTTTTACAGTCATCTACCATCTCTAACTCTTTCACTTTTTTTTAATCCTCTCTATCAAGGGATAACTAAGCACTGGGAGGAGGGAATGCCTGAAGGCTGAGCGTTCTGTAGACTCTTTATTTCCTGCGCTTTGACAAGTTGTAGGTCTCTGTGTTAATCACCATCTAATGGAAATAGAAGCTTCTCAGATCAGGGTTGACAGATAAAGTCTCTACAGATGTAAAGATAAGTCAGTAGAAGTTATTCAATCCTACAACTATTTAGCAAAATTACAATAGTAGATTTATCCCTAGTGCTGTGGCCTGTGTAGCTATAGGCCCTTGGCCTGGTGAAGGTGCCACGTATGGAATTCAACTCATGGAGTGGGCCTTAAATCCAACCACAAATTGGTTGGTTACACCCGTGATTTGGTGCCACTATTATCCTAACTAATGAGAAGGTCTTGCCAGGCCAGTCACTGTCGCTCACAAGATTCATGCCTGGATATGGTTGATGATTATTTTTCTGCTGTAGTAACATCCATAGAACTATAAAAGCTAGCCAGTAGTGATGAATCAGGTGGGTACCAACTTGATCTCTCCATGTTCTGTGGCTCAAGTATGTGGTGTCTTC